CAAGAAAGAAGGGTAAGAAAACCCTCAGGAGTTCAGCTTAGACACTTTTTTTAAAAAATCCTCCTCCCTCTGTCTGTCTGATGCCCAAAGGAAAACATAAAGTGCTTGGACAGGCCAGTTTGGTGTGAGTCTCTGTCCCTCCCTTCCTGCTCCCCCTTGCTGCAGCACAAGAGGAAAAACACTTGAAAGGCTCTTGGGGGGGGCGGCCGCAAGGATGTCTGTTTTGCCTCCACTCATGCCACTCTTCCTTTTGCAGCTTTTCTCACATCCAGAGAGGATAAAGGCACCCAGGTGCCTCTCTTACATACACACACAGACGAGCACATTCCCATTCAAAACAAGACTGCAGTGCATTGAACTTGTCCCTGAATGTAACCCTTCTGTTTTGAACAGCCCTGCTGGCTCCTGCCTTGGGCAAGGTTTCAGTTTCCCTGTAGCTTGATGACGTGGTTTGGGCAGGATTTATAAGGCTTACAAAAAAACCAGAATTAAATCTAAGGGGCAATGGAGGGGATTGTTTTTTTCTTTCTTTTTTTTTCCCCTCCCTTTTCATTGCTTGCTTCTAGGACCAAGGCAAAAGTTGAGTTGGCAAAAGTCCACTGTGTTGGCTGGAGCTTGAATTTCTAGCCAAAAAAAGCCAATTTCTCCAAGTTTAGATAAATTAATTTCCTGAAGTTTTTCAAACGTTTTCTTTGCTCTAAGTGACTGAGGAGCCATTGACATTTCAGTTGAAGAGCAATTGAAATACAGGACCTGAAGGACCAAAGCCATCTCTGCTGGAGCTCTGCTGTGGCCAGCACTGAAGCTGCCGCTGGTGAGAAAACCAGATTAAGTAAACATTCTTGAAGGTAATGCAGGTAGGGAGGGGAAGCCAGGTTGGGATTGAAATATTCCCTCTGCTTCCAAGAAGAGAAGAGCCATCCTGTTGGGAAGGGACCCAGTCGGGTCCCTGTCTGACCCCCAGGGCTTGAAAAATGGACATACCCAAATTCAACAGGAAGGAGCGTGACCTCCACTGGAAACCAGAGATGCTGGGAAAGACAAAGCCTGTGTCCCAACTTTGTCCATTGAGTCCTGTTCAATAAATAATAACAGAGTGTGCTGGAACTGTGTCAGCTATGTCATTTCAGGTGAGAAAGACTTGTGTTTTCTAGGTACCAGCTCTGTAAATCCCTGAGGAGCATGCTGCCAGTGCAAGCAAGGGTCACACTGTGTTCAGCAAGACACGTGTGCACCAGCAGCCACGTGTGCCCAGGCAAATGCATTTCTCTGTCCTGTACAAACTAAACTTCAGACCTCGTGGCCTGATTTTCTTAATCCAAAAGCAAAGGTCAAACAGAAAGTACATGGCTTTGGTTTATTTATGGAGAAACGTAGCCATCAGACTTTCCAAAAGCATCAGCAAATTCTGCACATCCATGTTTAAACCCCACAGAAAGCCCTGCCCTCCCAAAGCCCTCCCTGTTTGGGTGCTGGGCTGGCAGTGTCAGGAGCCAGGCTCAGCATCAGGCAGCCTGGCACAGCCCACAGCAGAGCCATGTCTGCTGGGAGAGGGGACAGGGTGAGCTCAGACACAGAGCATCCTCTGAGGATGTCGGACTGCTTGGGTTATTTACTTCTTTCTTATTACATTACTGAAAAGGAGAGTGAGAAAAAAATGCTCCCAGCTCACCCAAAGAGGAAGTGGGTAGGGAAATTTTGAGATTTCTCAGCCCTCCAAAAAGCCCCGTGGCTGGATGTGAGCATGGCCACCACAGCTGCCCCTTCACCATATGCACCACCGCCATCCCAACAGGCCTTGCACCGCCTCAATCCTGATACCAACAAGGAAGTACAATCACTTAACCGCATAGCCAGTTTCTTTTCTAAGCCTTCGGGTTGCCTCAGAAGTTTTTTAAACAAGACGCTTTCCTGTTTTTGAAACCTGTGCATCCGTATGGTTTGCAGGTTACTCAAATAACCTTATCACTTGAAGCAACGCTGGCATAAATTTCAAAACTGCTTACTGTGGTGCTCCCCTCCCCTCTCCACACATATCTATTTACTCATAGGGAGCCTTATTTACAGTATCTTCCTGCCAACTGCTGACACAGAAGAAAAAAAAGCCCTGGGTTACACATTAAGCTTTATCGTTGAAGTATTCATGCCAGACGGTGTCCAAACAGAGTTAACTGACTGACCTTAGCTCAGGGTAAGCCACACAAGGGGGAAATTTCTATCGCAATCTGCTTGCACGGGCAGAGCTCGTTTCGCACCACCAGCTTTTTCATCTCCTCCCCCCCTTCATCTGGGCTGAAAAGGCTTTTCAAAGAAAACACAGTTTTATTTTCAGAAAGCCAACTGAAGTAGAGCTAGTTCCTTGCAAGTTTGTTAAACAAGGAATTACCAGAGAGGTTTGCAGGTAAATGTTAGGGCACGGAGAGGGCTGCCTGTACACAAATAGTGACCTAAAATCCATGCAGCCTGTAAGCCATACACATTCTTATGCCAAAATGGGGAAAATGAAGAAGACTGTTCTGCAAGAATATGCCGTTCAGAGGGTCTGGAAAATCCAGAAATCAGGTTCACTATGCCTGTTTTGCACAGCAGCTTTGGAAAGATCTGCCAAACGTAACAGTTTCATTTGACAGTCATCTTCTGGCTTAACTTCTGAGCTGGCCAGTGGCCATCTCACGTTGCACAATAAATGCCTGCAAAATTAATCATAAACTCCCTGCCTGGAACTCCCAGTGCTGCTCTCCTGAAGGGTACCTGCAGCCTGCTCCAAATCCCTGCCACCAGCTCAAATCCTGTGTTCATCAGTGGCCCAGCGGGCGAGGGAGGACAAACCATCACAAAAACAACCCATGAACTTTATTCTTCCACTCCCACTTCTGCGATTTGCTGGCCGAGCCGTTTACCTCTGTGTACACTTCATGACAGCTACACGATAGATGGGCACACAGGAGCTTATCTAAATCTCACACTTCGCAGCCTTTCTTCTCACAGCTAATGCCTGGCTGGTGAAGAAAGCTGTAGGACCCGGTCCAGGGAAAGAAGAACCAAGAGCTGCTCGCAGATTAACATGCTCTCATCCTCTCTCTCCAATACATTCACTACTGCCAATTCGGTAGGGATGTGGCAAGGTCCCCTTGCTGCAACACTGTCTGCATGTGTTGGTTTAGTCAGTAGGGACTAATGGGAAGATAAAGAAGCAGAGTGGGTTTGTTGTTTGCGAGAAGTGTTGCTTGGCCAACCTTGCCACGGGAGCGTGGGGCATGGGGCATGCAGCATGGGTGGGGCATCATGGCACTACCTCTGCTCCTGCCACTCCCTGGATAAACTAGGTCCCACTTAAATGCTCCTGTGTAGGGGGACACAGGAAATGTAAAATTACTTTCTCCTGCCAAGCTAGCTGCTCTGCAGTGGGGAGGGAAAGCCTCTGCTCCTCATTTCTTATCCTCAGCGTTCAGTGCTAGCATCTGGGGGATGCCTTTCCCCGCTGCCCCTGTCCCACCATAGGGGTGCAGCCCTTTCTCTGGCCACCTCGTTAATGGCTTAGCACCTCGTTTGCAACATGGATCTCTCCCTCCATGAACTCACCAGAGAGCTGAGGCTCAGGCAGCCCTCAGACCTTCTGAGCACACCTGGCTCTTGCCCAGCTTGCACTGGGCTGCTGCTGTCATGCTGCCAGCCCTGGGCTTTCCTGCAAAGATGCGGCCATCAAATCCAGGGTGCTATCTCTTTTCCCTGCAACTCTAATTAAATTGCTCATTTAAAAAATAAGTGAATTGCATTCCTACTATGTTAATTACTTCCTCCTATGTAATGCTCTTCTTCCAATAGACTAAATTGAACTGAGCATACAAACATTCCAGGAAAATAACAACAACAAAAAAACCCCACCAAAACCAAAAAACAAGTAGGATGTAAACAGCTCCAGAAGGGAGAGAGAATGTATTTCCTAACATCTCTAACACCAAAATATAAAGGTATAAAGTAAATGTGATTAAAACCAGAGAAGCAAGCAGTACACATTTTATTGCTATGTTTTCACTTCTTATTTCTTTTTAACAAGAATAAAAAATAAATTGTGCAACCTCCACCAGGAAGTGAGTGGATCTTTGAACTCTGCCATCTGGCTAGTGGAATCTATATTTTCATCGCCTCGGGTTACAGGTTAATCCTGCCAGTTTTTATTATTTGTAGAAGTAGTTCGCCTCTCGGAAGCTTTTATGGTCTCTGTCACAGAGAAGATTGCTGCTGAGCAAAATACATGCACAAAATACTGGGGTCAGTGGAGTGAGGACATTGAGCAGGGAAGAAAAGAGAGAGGGAAAAAAAAAAAGCTAGTTCTGGCTAATCTAAAATTATCCTTTTTATTACAAGAGAAGACATTGCAACATGTGCTGGCAAATTTGCCTCGCATTGCAAGTCAGCACAGACAGGAAGGCTGAGCCTCCCTGCTCATGGTGGAAGTCAAGCCCGAGCATGCCCAGCAGCTGGGGAGCCCCACGTGATGACAACAGCATCCAGCTCCATCTGGTGATGTTCTCCCAGCCCCCCGGGCACTTTTCCATCTAGTCTTGCAAGCAGCTGGATCAATTTACTCTAGCCTACGGTGCGCTGCACAGGCACAGACTGAAATTATTACTCATGGAAATCCCCTCTGTCTCAGTGCTTTGAACAAGGAATCAGGTAGCTTTCAAGCTCCTGACAATTAATAGCCTTTGGTCGAGGGAGAGCAGTGCAAACACGCTGGAAGCAATGGGTTTCAAAACAGCTTGCTTAGTTTCTAGTAAATTAAAGGGAGTGGGCGGTTGAGGTACACGGTAATATTATCCAGCGCAGTGTGGTCTTCACTGACGTCAGCAGGACATTTTTTTTCCCTCTCTTTCTCTCTCTCTGCCTGTCTCCCAGAAAGAGACACATGGAGGTTAACTCTGTGACAGAAGCATGGCTCGTACCACCCGGAGAACCTCCAGTTTTCCATCAACAATGCCAGAGCGCAGATGCTGCTATGTTGCAAATGAGCAGCACCAAATTACATGCAAGTCATTTCAGAGGAGAAAAAAGCTGTTGGAAACAGAAATCATGAGGACTTACAGTATGTATTTCTCTTCACGTGACATGATTAACCATTCAGATTAAGACCATTCTCTTCCTGCGGCTAAGAATACATCCTCTTCTCAGATTTTGCTTGAAATAGCGCATTTGTCCACGACCCCTCCCTGCAACTGCTGTGCCCTTCCCAGTATAGCTCTGTGGTGTCTGTGACTGTGTTTTCTCAGTCTCACTAACACATCATTTTCTCTGAGGCCCCTGTACTGTAGGCTGGAGGCATTATACAATAGCTGCCAGCTTTGCATTGAAAATATGCCAATAAGTTCAGCAGAAGAATTCTGCTATGCTTTCAGCACACTTTTCAAAATGTGATTTCTGTGTACAATCATATATGCTTGCAGCCTTTTCATACATACTAATTGTATATCTAATAAGAGGTGGTTGGACAGCAAATAAAAGGATGCACAACACTGAGATGCTGTAGGTAGGAAAACAGATCTAACCTAGGTCTGAAGACATCACCTTCCTGGTGAAACATAACACTACAGTGCCCATATTTTCTGTGTCAAAAATGTGAAACATAGAAAGTGTTTGGGCCAGAATTTTTTTAGGGTTGCAAAAGACAAAGGGGACTTTTTTATAACAAAAATGTGTACTGAAGCTGCTGTGCCAGGTTCTGACTCAACACAGACGCATGCATACTCCTCAAAGTGGAAGATTTTTCCAGTAATTGAGTGGACTGAATGAGCTCATCATGACCCACTGAGCAAGTTTTTTTAGTGTTTGTTTTGAGCAAGAGAACAGCTTCGATCAGTGTTTGCACTCAGTTGACTTCTCCCCTCTTCCCAAACTTTTGTTGCTTTCATGAAACACCCATTCCATTTGGCTCCTGTTGGTAAAAGGAGCAATTTTTTCCTAAGTGTGGCCACAGGACTTAAGTAAATATCGCTGAAGCATTAAATGTATTAATGAAATGTATTTAATATATTAATGAAATGACACTGCAGGCATTGTCGAGTTGCAGGATCACCAGAGCAGGTGAGGGAGAAGAGTACTGTCCAGGAAAGCCAAGAGACACAGTTGTTCCACAGAACACTGCAGAGACAGACAGTGCATCCTTGTGCAGGAGGCTGAGGGGAATTTGTGAAAGTGGAAGACCATGAATCACTGCAAACAAATTATGTGATCACCAACTGGCACATTCTTCTTGTCCTTCCATATCCTGATCTGATTTTGCTATGGTTACCTATGCGTCTTGGTAGTATTCTGCCTGCTGCTCTGAGGGGCATTTTTGCTGCTTGTCATTAGGTATGAAACCTAACATGCTGTAAAGGTTGAGGAAAAGGTCTTGAACCAAGTAATTTTTGGCAGGAGTAGCTGTAATTCCCTCAGGGCCACAGCTGCAGATTGGACTTTGCTGCAAACACCGCAGTCCTTGTGTTCCTGCCTTTGGGGAACGAGTCACAGATTTTTACAAGTAAATATTGCACAACGTTTTCCTTTCTGCAGAGTTGCCTGCTGAGGTCCCTTTGACAACAGTGTCTTTCAGGATTCATTTGCACCTTTCATCAGGACATTTTGGAGAAAAAAATGGAAGGAATTAATAGCTATCCGTAATTATGCCTCAGATTGGCAGTACCTGGGGGTAAATGGAGCTCATATCTCCAAGTTGCCATTCCTGAGTTTTAGCCACCAACCTATGCTCCCTTCTTTCTGCAAATGGTAAGTACCTATTGCTTTACACAGTAGGCAAAGACAATTATGCTCTGGACTTTGAAAGAAAAGGAACATTGGTGAATACATAACTCTACTAAGCAGCACTTTCATTTTAAAGAAAACGCTCTCCCGTTTTCACACCCAAAAGGAACAGCCTGCTTTCTTTCAAGGTCTCACCAAAGAGTAGGAAAGGCACCCCAGAGCCCTGCCTAAACAGCTTTGGGCTCTCCAACTGAGCATTTTAACAACTTAATTGTGGCCACAACAGCCTGCAGCACAATGTGCCCAGCCACGGCAGATGAGGTTGAAAGGAAATCCACAGGTTTCTCCAGTTCTCTTTTTCAGCTATATTTGGAAATGTGGTCAAGCCCAGGTCAGGCTGACCTGCAGAGCTATCTTCAGACAGCCTTTGGCTGCCCTGCCACATGAGAGCAGGTTTTCAGTTCCAAGCAAGGTGGCCCTGATGGTGAGAAACATAGCCCAGCCTGCTCAGCTTGCGCTGAGGTTGTCCACGTATACTGGTTTTGTGGCACAGGATCAAAGGCAGCTGCCAACTCCTGTCACTCTGGCCACCAAAGAGCTATGGGCTGGTCATGGGTCTGAGCCACTCACACTGCAGGCAAGGTTGAAGGTGGACCTGAAGGTGCACTTGCCTGCAGGTGGGAATGAGACAACCAGGCAGAGCAATGCCCCATTATCTCCAGACAAATGCAAGCAAAAATGTTAACCATTCCATGAGACAAGCCTTTTATGATTGCCTCTCACTAGCCCTGGTGAGAGACACGGAGAGGGAGAAAGCTGCACATCACAGCCGGCAGGCAAAGAGTCCTTTACAGGGACGCCCCTGAACTATTATTACCATCACTCTCCTTCTTTATAAAGCCTTCAGATAGCTTTCCAAGATGGTATTTTTGTGACCAGACAAAGGTCAGAGTCCCTGCTATGATAAATCAGGCCTGATTCGGAGGCAGGTTCAGCTGACAGAGTCATCTGACCAGCGCAGCTGTGCACAAACCCTGAACCAGTTCCCTTCCTATGTTTCTGTCAGGCTGGGCACGAAGCTCAGACATCTGCTAGTTCCTGAATTACAGCGTGCACGCAATAACGGACGTGCCCTGCTCGGGGAAGCTTGTGTTTATTATTCTCCAAGCTTTGCATCAACTACACACACAACCAGACCGCAGCGTCCGGTCACCAAATCTGCTGTGTGCAGCTGCTTTGGCTGCAAAAATGAATGGTGACTTCGTAAGCCTGTGGCTTCCCTAGAAAAAAAAAAAAAAAAGGAAAAAGTTTGCATTTCTCCTTTTCTGTGTTGCCAAATCCTTCCCTTTGAGAAACTACGCAAAGTGCTGCTTAAGTAGCCTCGCACCTGTAAGGGAGGCAGCAGGCACAGCTCATATCACCCACAGTCCACAGCTCTGCTAATGTCCAGCAGAAATGCTTGGGGATGGTTCACAGCCACCTGGTGAGGGCCAGTGCATGCAAGTGCTGCCTGGGTTTTGGGAGGATTGATGTAAACAGTGATCCAGTGCAAGGACAGCTGGCCCTGCACCACTTCCCACAACATGTCCTGGGCTTGTGCTATCGTGCCAGCCTGGGCACTAGTGCGCCCCCCAGCCCTGCTCCCACGCCTGTGCCTGCCTACTGAGGGGCATTTTGTGTTTCTCCGCTATGCTGCCCTGCTGAGCAGCTCTGAATCATCCCCTGCACCAGCAGGCAGGAAACTGCGGCTGCCAGGCCCCCAGCGAGCTGTGTGCAATGCCAGGGTGCCCCTCCAGACCCAAAAATGCCAACGTTGGGCTGAGCAGCAGCTGGGGTCCCCCCACAGCCAATACCAGGGTCCAGGGTGAGCTCACAGCTCACAGCTGTTGTCCCACAAATGAAGCTGAAATCCCCTTCTGCCAGCACCACCGAGCTGCACCACTTTGACCTTTTCAGGGAAATCTGCCTGGACATTTTGGCTCTGCCCCCCTAGCAGCCACAGCAGAGGGGGAGCTGAGCTGGCCAGCTTGCAGGGCTGACCCCACTGTAAAGGTCAGAGAGGCACAGCCTGCCCCACCACTCAGGGGCTGCCAAGCCTGCGAACTCAGCTGTTGTCTTCCTGTGACTACGGCTGCCATCACTGCTTGGAAAGGATACAAGTGCGACCCTGGTATTACAGCAGTTTGGAGAGCGTAAGGCCATGGTCTCAGATGGGCTCTCAGAAGCAGGCAGGGTGCTCTGTGCTGGCTCCTTTCCAGGGAAAACTGAGAAGGGTCTGCACAAGAAGCTGCTTTTAGGGCTGATCAGTTCTCAGAGCTACCTACTCCCAACTCAAAGGGCCAGGCCTTGTGATCCACATAAGCCGTTTGTGTCTGCTTGAAAGAAACAGTAAAAATCCCCAGAGACTCAGAAATTGTAAAGACACGGCAAAAAAGCCCAAAACTTCAAGCCTGTGAGCACCACTCCCAAGCATACACAAATTGCTTCCATATTTTACAAGTTTTGAAGAGTGTGTGTGTACACTTTGTAAATCAGCAAGCTTGACCCTGAAGCCATCCAAAACTCATGATCAAAAACTTCTGAGTTTTTGAGGTTCAGGTGACATCATTCTCCAAAGGGTTGCTTCATCTAAGTCAAAAAAAAAGGTAGGAATTTTTGAAGCAGAGTAACAGAAGCCCTGAAAACATGTTTTCTGTGCTAGGAAACACAATGCATAATGAGGACACACACAATCCCCTCAGTATAAGTGAGAAGCAAAGCAGCCCCCTTTTTCTGCGCTTACAGGGCTAAAATGATGTGCAGACAGAAACCTGTGATGTTTGAGTGTTCAGAAACAAAATCTGTCCCATGACGTCTGTGCCTTTTGTCTAGCCTCCTGTACCTCTGCATCCAGTTTGGAGATCACAGGCATGGCATGGAGACATGGCTGAGGGGGTGCTGCCACTGTAGTGCCTCTGTAGTGCCCCTCACTGTAGTGCCCCTGGGTCCTTCAAGGACAACAAGATCCCTCTGACCCCCATCATACCCCAGTCAGGTACAGAAATGTAGTGACACCCATTTCCAGCAGAGAACTGAAGACAAAGACCCCAAGGACTTGCTCTGGGGCAATTATGGTTCCCATCCCACCTATCTGCCTTGTCCAGGCACTGTGGATTTCTGCCAACACTGCTGAACTGCTGTGGTTGACACTTTGGTGTGTCAAAGTTGCCCAGTACCAATTTCAGTCTATAACATCCCAAAAAACGTTAGGCTGTGGCCACTACCAAGAGAGCTCAGGTTTGCTCCCTTACCTCAGCAGCGCTCCTAAGGGCTGAGGCTGTGAGAGCAAGTCATGCAGTCCAACAGGAGCAGATCGGTAGGGCAAAGCACTTGGGACTGAGGATATTACACCCATGTAGCACATCTTTTAGGAGGGGTTGCATCAGACTAGCTGCAGTTTGGCTCAATGAACTGAGCTGGGAAGCAGATGGGGTGTTTCTGGGGAGCATTTTCCAGTTTAGTCTCCTCCACCAGAAACCCAGCCTATATACTGCGAGGTCACCCCACAAGGTGAACAGAAGTGGAGTGTGTGGGAGCAACCAGGACATTTGCTCAAAAGGGCATCTCCAGCCTGAACTGAGCCAGTAACGCAGGGACTTCCAGCTCATCCATCTGCCCTGGGCACGGGAGTGGAAGAGCCCCATTGCCACTCTTACCAAATGCTAAGGGATTTGTATGAGCAACTTAGGTGGACAAGGCATCCTGACACAAGGCACAAGCACAGAGGGTGCTGGCTGAGAAGAGGAAGGAGGGGAAATATGTTTAGAACAATGTGCTTACAAATGCTGCAGAGGAGGGTGGGCACAGTGACAGCCGCTCCCTGGGATCCCAAGGGACAGAACAAAGTTTTCCCCGCCATCCCACGTCATCCCCATTTCCATTCCCAGCCCACACTGTGCTCCAACAGGCTGTGGTGACAGAGGAGAGAGGTGCTCCTCAACCCACAGCTGAGGAAAGGCCTGCACATGGGAGTGGAGGTGGTGCAGCAGGGGCATCCAGCTCAGCCCCAGGCTCCTCTGGGAGAAGGCAGTTGGGCGGGCTGGCCTGCAGCCCAGGCAGCTCCAGAAAGGATATGAAACCCCATCATTGTGAAAGCAGGAGGTGACAGTTCATGCTAAGGCAAGGGGCTCCAGAGTGATCTTACTGCCAGCATGAGGTACAGCATGCTGCTACTCTGCACCTCCTTAGAGCTCTCTCCCAGGCACAAGCAGCCACAGCCAGGCTCCAGGAGTGTTGTCCCTCTCCACTAGCTGGGGCAGCTGACAGCATGGCCAACACCTTCAGGACTTGTCATATATCTGTCTTTAGAGTGAAGAATAAAGAGAGGAAGATAAATGTCAATATTTGTGGCAAAAAAAGGGGGTGTAAAATCCTGAAGGTCCCAGGTAGCACTAGTGTGGAATTCCATGAAAAAGCAGGGCCATCTCAAACAGCCAGATGCCTATGAAATGTTATTTCTGGATACCGCTTCAGAACTGACTTGGAGGGAAGTGTGACATTTACTGAGTCACCTCCACCACTTCCTGCAGCACCTGGAGCTTACTTCAAGGGTTCTCATTTAGATACTGAGAATTTGCTCACTGTTCAGGCTGAAAATAACACCGTTTACTTTTTTTTTTTTTAAAAGCTCTGCTGAAAGCATGATCTGTGATGCAACAGCCTCCAGTGCAGCCCAGTCCCCATGTGCAGTTCACACAGCACAATGAAAAAGCAATTTAAAAGTCGTCAGTCACCTGGTACTTCTCCCAGGAGGTAATCAGCAACATCTAGCTGCTTTGCCCTTGGATCCAGCAACAGGCAACAAAACTTTCTTTTTCCAAGCCACCCAAACCATGCTGCATCCTGAACACTGATGGAGGTTTTCACCACTTCCTCTGGCTACACCAGTAAGCTGCGGCCTTCTCAGCCTCCAATATATGCTGCAGCAGCTGCATGGTGAACTGAAATAATTTTGAAGGACAGCTCTGAATCTCTGCCTTTATGAAGAGTCATTCAAGGCTCCTGTGTTCCTGCTTGTTCCTGCCAGAGCCCTCCGGGGCTCAGGATGCACAGCCTCAAAGTGCAAGCAACTTCAGAGAAGAGGAATTGAAAAGAAAAGCCAAATCTAATTTAAAAAAGAAACCAACCAAACACCCAAATATATCTTTAGTTTCATATATAAATTATTTTTGCACATTTTGTCTGTATTTAAATACTCCCCTTACTGGGGATGTAAAACTCTGATGAATTCATTGTGTATAAAACCATTTAGGCTTTAAGCACTCTTGTTTTGATATACAGTTTGTTAATAAGGAAAGGACATATTTTCTCCCTTGGTATTACAGAATTTACACAACATTTCACATCCAATCCAAAAATATTTGTGGTGTTTCTTTCAAAAGTTGAAGCTGGATAAAGGATATTTTGTCCTTCCAAAGACAAAACCTTTCATTAAATGCCGTTACAATTGCAAAGGATCAGCCATCGAAACCCAAGTGTCTTTGTTGGCAACGCATCCATTAAAACAACTCCTCGAACAGGATATGACATGTGAGTGTTTAGTCTGTGGAAAAAAAAAAAGAAAAAAGCAAAAAAAGCGTCAAATGTCAAAATGTAGAAATGTCAAAGGTGAAAGAGGAACTGGGTTGTTTGCTGTTAGAAATGCCTCCTCTTGCATCACAGTGGCCTGTGAGAGCCATGCACGCAGAAAGACCATGGAAGTTCTAGGAAAGGATGAAAAACCTTCCTTTCTTGTGAAATACACAGTTTTCTCAGGGACCATTCCAACTCAGAGTCAGACAGGAGTAAAAGTGCAAAGCTGTCTGAGGAGAGCTGCAAAACCATGTTTTTCTGCCCATGCATTTTGATGGGAAGGCCCCTGGGACCCGCTGCACAGCAGCTCTGCAGCACAGCAGTGGGAGGGAGAACAGTGTTTGCCAAGCCAAGAGCAAACCCACCAGAGCAGACACTGTGTCGATGCTCTGCCTGCTCCAGGGCTTTGGGCAGACTCTTAAATTTAAGGGGATAGTTCATTTGTTTCCACTCTCTCCTTTGTTTCTCTAATCTGGGATACTGAGCAAAAGGCACGGAAAAACGTAATGTGGACAATAAACTGCCTATTTAAAAAAACTAATACTATGCCTCCAGGGCCTGGGAGGTTTCACACAGGTACAAAAATGGATATTCAGTTCTGAAAAATGAGACTGGACAGAGTAAAACAAAATTATCTTCTTTCCAGCTGGACATATTTTACAGCCTTTCTGTCTGCTATATTAAATAGAAGACAGGAAAGACCAGTTGGGATGTGCACTCAAGATGAGATCTTCTGATCATCTCTTTTTTTCCTCTTTCTACTCATAAACCTGGGGACTTTGCTCAGCCAGCCTTTGAAATCTCATTGCAGGCTGAGGCTGGTTATGAACCAAAACAAGGAGGGGGCTGTTGTGGACAACTGTGCTTGCTTTCTGTGGGATTTGTTGGAAGAAGAGGTGTGCTGCATTTTTACTGGAAGGGATGATTAATCATCTAGAAGATGCAAACACAGAGAAAAGAAATAGTATCTGTTGAGACACTTCCAGCTACATGTCCATCCTGCCCCTTGACCAGCATCTGCCTGGCCTTGCGGGCAGGCTCAGCACCCAATGGTCTCCAGGGCTCTAAAACACATGAGGCTGCAGGAGAACAGCTGGGTGCCAGAGACAGGCACCTCCCGTGCCACCGCCAAGGCAGCAAGATCCTGCACACTGCCACATTCTTCATAAAATTACAAAAAGTGTTAATTTATAGCAAATCCTACCCAATTAAAGATGATAAAGCTCTGCAGTTAATCAAGCTGATTAAATGAATTAAACTTGTTAAGAACAGTTTTATCAAAACATTTACATTTCTACTGAGCAGAGATTCATGTGACTTTGAGCTGCAAAGTACACAGTTGCCATGAGAGGACTAAAAAGAGGATTGGGAACATTAACCATGTAAAAATCAAGTCTACTGCTGCATCTCCCAGCATTCATTTAAACAAAAGAGCTTCTTGGCCCATTAATTTCATCACTGTGTCAGGTATCTTCTACTTCCTGGAAACAGAGGCATTGCTTACCCACTGTGGGAGGTGACACATGTCCAAAGGGGGGGAATTCGTCCCTGCCTTATGAAACATCTCCAAGACAATGTGTTGCAAGAGGTCCTGGGAGAGCAGCATCCCTCACCCAACCCATGGTGTGCCCCCATGGCATGTGTTCAGGTAAAACAATGGCCTCATCTCCTGGGTCTGAGAGCACCTATAGAAGAAACACATATGTAAGAGTACACAACACAAACGTTTCCATAGCTGTCTGAAAGATTAAAGTAAAACAGCAGGAGATTTTTTCCTTACATATAAGTCTGCTCAGCTTCAGTCCCCACAGAGATGGGTTCAATAAAGGCTTTAAATGCTTAACTTCTTAATTTAGACACTCCATCTTTAGCTGTTAGCCAACCATGGAGAAGTGTACTGCTGACAGCTACTTGAAGTTCCTCCAGTATCCTACATCCTTCAGAAGAGAGCAGAGCAGGTTGGTGGTGACATTCCATTTACCTGTGCCACATCAGGACCCATCAGCAACCTGTCCTCCCAGAGCCTCCCTTGATGGGGCTAAGCTGAGAGTAGACAGACCTGTAATGGCTGAACACAGGCTTAGCTGAGGTTGAAGGTTTTCTCTGAGCTTATGGAAAGAGCTTACACAGCACTCCACACCTATTTTAGAATAAAAAACCTGTGGGGGGGAGAGATGACTGTCTCTCTGCTAACTGTAGAACAACTCATGATGAGGGGACTTACACTGAATGCCTCACTTATGGACAGCTCGAATAAAATCATGTCCTTAAATATTCCCGGCAATATAAACACCAACTGGATAACAAACCATGGCCAGGAACAGGGGGTCTAACCACACAGCAGCAAGTATGCCTGCTTGCCAAAAGGGCAGTCGTCACATGCATGCAGAAGGCAGGTTAGTGTGGGTTTCAGATCCTTCTCAAATATTTAGCCCACCTCATTGATGGGTTTTCTTTGCTGCTGCAACGTGCACTGCTCTCCATGGCAGGTAGTTTGAACATTGTAAGTAGCACTGCACCCACAATAATTTCCTACCAAATGAGGATTTAAATAGTGAGAGTGCATAATCCCAACTGAAAAGGCATTAGGAGTAGGCCTTCCCCTTTCTCTCAATGAGCATATTTAGAAGATCTGCAACTTCAGCATTTTGCAGAGAGTTCTGCTAAGGCAAAGACAAACTTGGCATTGGCGCTCCATCTTCTGTGCCATATGCTTCATTCATCTGAGAGTTGTTTTTCCTGCAGGGGAGGGTGGATTGGCACGTATGGAAATTCATTAAAATTATTTTGTTTGGTTCTTTGTGCTGGCCACCATCTCCATTTTAATTTTTATTTCTCATGCCCAGAACAATCTCAAAACAAAGACAACTTCTCCTGAAGCACAATAAATATTCTCAAAAGCAGTGTCTGAAAGGCCATGCTCCTTGGATGATCCTGTAAAGGTTACAAGTTGTGGCTGGAGTATTTCTAAAGAGGGTGATAGAAACCAAGAGACTGAAAATAAAAGTAACACATGTTAAGAAACCAAATATACTGACATGCCATGTAACTACCTGGGTATTGGCAAAGGTACCATCTGCTTATGTGCAAGTCACTTCCCTGGTTTTGCAACAACAAGTCTCTCAAATGATGCTTATACTGAGTTACCTATTCCATTTTTCACTGCTTGCCGGATAAATGGCAGCTTTTTTAATAGGAAGACAGATGTTTGATTATTTTAGGTTCAGGGATTCTGGCCAATTCCTTCCCAAAAGTGGCTAGGGTTGAATAGCCAAAGAAAATTTATGCATTTAAACTTAATGATGCTTAAACACTGCAAGTAACAACACAGAAATGGACAGAAGCCTGAGGGGTAGCAGAAATCTCCAAGAAAAGGACTTTTCTGTTCAGACAAACTGCCAGCAGCTCCTGATAGCGACCATTATGATTGTATTTCCATGTTCTGCCCTTTAAAAGTATATATTATTTTCAGTTAAAAATAAGTCTGAATTCATTTTTGGAGTCCTGTGATGTTTCTGCACCTAATGGTTTCCAGGTCTCTCCATAGGCTGTAGCTAGCTTTTGTTTATCCATACAAGACAAAGTTTTGAAGAGTTCAGATCTCAAAAGCAGAAAAAACAACTCATGACCCACAGGCAAACAGAGTGGGACATTTTGCTCCACAGCTTTGGAGAAGCTTCCAGCTCACTGCTGGTTTAACGCAATGTACTGGGGAGCTACACTGACAAAGACCTTTTGTTCCCCCCTTTCCCTGTTTATGAGGTTAGGTACAAACCCCATTCTATTTCCACTTCTAATGCCTGCAGAGAAGAAATAGTCAATAAGGTTTCATAAGAAAGATGAAATCTGCACAGACATCCTAGTAAATGCTCTTCAGGTAGTGCATGTTTCACACAGGTTGGTGTTAGGTGTCATTTGCAGATTAGGTTGAAATTGGGTCTTTTCACGTCCTAATGTACACTGAATATAAAAATGAAATGTCACCTGCACACACAAAGTGCATACACCATTCCAAAGCATATATACCTATCCAAACAATTAGCTCTTAAAACCTCTGCATGAGTTTCAGCAGAATACATTAGTGCTGAGAATAACCAAGGACTGAACTTCTCCAGAGGAGCCTTGCTCACCATTTTAATGCCACTCTCTTTCCATGCAACCAAACTGTCAGCCTGCTCAGACCCCAGGGAGTATCCAGTGTGGCTGTGAATGGAAAGATATCATTATGAATTATGAAAATGTAAAACATTTCTTTTTTTTTTTCCTTTTTTTACAGGGTCATTTTGGATGCAGCAATGAGGAAGAGTGCATGAACTTCAGTCTCTAGTTATGATTTCAAACTCACAAAAAAATCTGTGAAATGGGGGATTGGAAAGGAAAACAGCAATTAACAGCTCCTGACTAGGACATGGGCAATGCCAGGAAACATTCAGAAAAATAACCCATGGCAGTTGCTGAAAGGGGCCTAGCAAATGGATAAGAGGGAGTAGCAAACTAGATGCTGGTTTATAAAATGAGAGGGTCTGATTTTGACCTGCAGAGAGGTGAAGAACATTGTATCACAGAAGAGAAGGGAGATGGCTTCTCTCTGCAGGGTATTGCTGAGTCTGAGCCATCCTCTGAACAGAGAAAGCAAATGCAGGCATTCGTGTGTCAAGGAGACATCATATTGGAAAGAATTCAACAATGAACAACAATCAAATAACTAAAGGGAAGATTAAATAACTAAATAGTACAGTTTGGATAAGTAAACCCCTACGAAGAAGATAAAATCATTTGAAGGTGTCAACATCAAGGAGAGAGCACTGTTTACACAGCTCTAGATAAAGCGTAACAAGAAAGGAAAATACCTTTTCCTGCAGAAAGGGAAAATGCAGACTGGCAGTAAGAACTGCTAACCTGCTGCTGCTGACCTTCACAGCCCTTCCAGCCCCCTACAACCCCCTACAACCCCCTACAACCTCCAATCCCCTTCCAACCCCCCTTCCAACCTCTGTTGGTGTAGAGGTTGTCAGGTGAGCACCCAGGAGTGCTCAGAGCCACTATAGCAACATCTTTCTGCAAAGCAACCTGCCACACATGTCATGTGTGCTGCACATCAGCAGGTAAGGGCCAGCATTACCATCCCTCTGCACCTCTGCCTCCTGCAGGGAAAGAGAAATCCAAAGTGTTTCTCTCATGCTTCACCATCACTCAAATACATTTGATTCATCAGCAAAACACGAAGTCCAGTAAGTCTGTAAAACAGCCAGTCCACACCTGGAGCCTGCAAATGCCACATTACAAGCTCAGGTATTTGCCTGTAGCAATCAGCTAACCCGATGCGTAGCAGCAAGATTTCATGTGCTCATGTACATGTTTTCTGGTGTGGCCATCCACAGAGGCAAAGTTTCTCATTTCCCCCTGTGAGCGCTGTCTGCATTTGTTTAACTCTTCCCATTAATGATGACTCGCTCAAGCTCAAATACACCATGCTGGATGTCTGCCTCAGGCAGCCTCTTTTGGTGAATTTTAGCTAAAATAATTCAACCGCCTCCTAGAATAAGATTAGGAAGATATATGTTAGCTTGCTCTGTTCAAATCAAGAGATTAAACATGTCTATCTTCAGAGGCTGATACTGATAGACAGAATCGGGGAAGGAGGATGTGCCTTCGCAAGGGTCCTAGGTTTTCTCATTTGTGGTCAAGTTACAAGTTATACAAGGTTTCACTCTGCACCTGCCTCATGGGGGTTTGTTTGAATTTGGTAGATAATTTAACTGAGGACTCCATCTGTTTTGGCCTTGCTGTAGGCCAGGGACACAGGTGCTGCCTACCATCCCCAATGCTGACAGCTGGAGTCTGCTGTGGCCTGAAGGTGAAGCAGGGATCCTCCCGTCCTGCACAGCTGCAAGGAGGCAGGACAAAGACCTTTCCCCATACAGCCTCCACTCCCTTGCCGAGAACTGTCTGCCCTGGGTATTAAAAGAGGTAGAGCTGTTGTGGGGAAAACCAAATATTTACATATGCATTTGATCCTGTAGCTAAAAGCAGCCCTATCATGATGCCTGTGCAGATGGGACTCAGGTGGCAAGGGCAGTGTTAAATCAGGCGTTTCTAGCTGTCCAGTGCTTGACCCTACAAGCTTCCCATACTTTCAATCTACGTCAAATTTGTGTCATTTCCTTGATTTGCAGATGGCAAACTGAAATAAAAATGCAGGAATCCCATCATGTGGCATCATACTGTCTACCGCATGACTCACTGGCAGAACTGGCGCTTATTCTCAGCTGTTAATTCCATCATGCTTGAAAAGCAGAGTAGCTGGGAATACTGATAGCCCTACAGCCTCTGCTGAGGGAGCAGGCAGAACTCATCCACAGCCTGCACCAATAGCTTCCCCAAATATTTGCTGACAACAGACACCTACTGTGCTACAGAAATCCCTGGGTTGGCTGTGTCCCAGGTTCTGCAGGAGGTATGATCTGGTGAGGAGATATATTCCCAAATCTGACTCCTCCTGCCCCTCCTGGTCCTTTCAGCCTGTCTTCTGCTTTGGTCCTGCTCCCACATCTACTTCAACACCTGTCATTAGTTCCCCTCTCCAGGCAGGGGGTCCTCAGCCCTTGTGCTGCAGTAGGGCTCCCTCTCTCCTTCCCTTCCTCCCTCGGCCAGGTCCAGCCCTAGTCAACATCAGCCTTCCTGCATGTTCATTTAAGTGTTGGCAAAGGAGCACATCCAAGAGTATCTCCAGCACTACAGTGACCCTGCCAGCACAGAAAAACAAGGTCAAAGAGCTGCTGCTCTGCACCTGCAGCAGGAGGCTGCTCTGTGCCGGCCACACCATCGTCTGTGATTTAGCCACAGGATTTGAACAAGTTTCCACTGAGCAAGTGTCTTCAGAGAATTCAGATTCTAACTCTTAAGAAGTTTCTGTTGAGTGTCTGAGATCTGAGGCTTCTTTTATTTCCTAAGGTTTCTCAGTTCAACTTATTTTTTTCCCCCATGAAAAACAACCAAAGGTGCGTTCCTGATATCTGCCAAATTTCAAGCCTCTTCCTCAGAGGCAGAAAGTGCTAGAGTTTCTCAACAGATCACTTTAAGAACATGTTTGAATATGAAGAAAAAAAATTGTTTCTCTCATCTCTTTCTTGTAAGCAAGTAAAAACATTTTTTGCTGAAGCTTCCCAGATGCATTCAGCCTGAGATAGATACTCAGAACAGAAAAAACCAGCTAAGCAGTAGACAGATAACATTTTCGGGGTTTACAAGCAACTAAATATTTGGTCTTATAAGAAATGTTGGATAGCCTTAAAAACAGACAGAGGCATCAAGGTCATCAAGTACGTGTAATTTAAACTGAGCTTCTGCTGAGTCAGGAGGGGAGAAACAGAAAATGCATGAATTTGATGGTAATTTCCCCAAATTTGTGAATGCTTTTGTACTTTCTAAGAAGACTGTGGTGAAGAGATTTGCTTCCTTTGGAGGTGCCTGTGCTCTGCCACAAGCTGCCTGGGCAGAGGCTAAATGAGCTTGGCAGGTGAATCTCCCCTAGGATCTCCACTGGATCTCCATGAGCCCACTCTGGGATCTGGAGCTGTATCTCCCCCTTTTCCCAGCACTCATAGACCTCTGGAGAAGGCTACTCATTCTACAGGGGCACCATGGGGATGCAGGTGCCAAGTATACCTGTTGCATTGCTCAGGGCTCAGTTGGGAGCCAGGCACAGAGTGCTGCTGAGCTGGGTAGGGGAGCAAGGGCCCCAGCTTTTCGGGTTTATCGTGCATCTGTGGATTATTTAGAGCCTGGAGTAATGGGCACCCTCAGTGAAGAGTGCTATCAAAAAAAGGGAAAGCTGTGAGTCGTTGTTATTTCAGATCAGGTCAGGAAGGTCTCATCACTTCACAATGACGCTACGGCATGAACTAACCAAGCTGAGCCTCACCCCCTCTCTCAATCTGTCACTCTGCTGAGCATTTCCACTTCTACATCACACACACACAGAGGCTCTCCCTGCACAGGGCCATCCCACCAGTACACACCATGGCACCATACCTCTATCAGGCCACTCTTGCTCAGGAAGCATCTGTGCAGTATGTGTGATCCTCTGCCACTCCATTTTCAAAGCACAGGCACAACCTATTCCCCATTTGTTTATGCAGACATGAGTAGGTAGCAGGGAACAGGTCTGCAGGCAGATAGGTCCCTTCCCTTCCCGCCTCCCACTCTTTCCCAAGAATGCCCCCAGCATGCTTGCATCTGCAGCAGAGCCACAGCAGCTGACAAAACACCTGTCTCCCTGTTCCAGGGATGATTTTGCCTGTGACTGACAAGCAGGCACTGGTGTTTCACAGTGCTGCTCTTCAAACCACTCTTTCATAGACACGCCATGATTCCTGGTCCTTGTGAATGGGAACCCACTTATTAATTTTTGCTGACAGCAACAGAAAGGGGTGCACAGGGGGGAAGAGAGAAGTATGCTTTAATTTCTCTGCTTTTGGCTTTGTCTGAGAAATACAGAAAAGCTGCCCCTACCCAAAGAAGATGGTGTGGCCACTGTCGTGGCAGCAAGGGAGTGAACAAGAGGGCCTGTGAGCCCAGTAGTGCAGTGGCATCTCTATGTGTAGGGAACCCATGCACAAGGTTTCATATGAATAATTAAAACCCAAGCCTCCTCACTCTTCTCCACTTTCCAATCCCTCCTCCTGTTTTCTCTATAACTCCATTTTCCTCTCTCTCACTTCTTTCCACTGCCATTTTACAGATATTATTGTTCCTTTGGCGAAGAGCATGCCTATGCTGAGATGATGAGTTTATAAGGCAGAGGGCTGCAGCAAACGCCTCGTGAAGCCCAGCCAGCAGCCCCCAGCCCCCTTCCTCCCCTCCTCAAAGTTCACACGGTTTAGTATGCAAGCTTCCTGCTGCCTGCCCAGCCAGCTCACTATTCACAGGCAAACTGCGCTCCTCCGCTTGGCTCCCAAAGAAGAATAAGTATAAAAAGCCCTGAAAGTCTTGCTGCTGAGCCAGCAGGAAACTCAAACTGCTCTGAGCATGGGAACCAAGAGAACCGCTGTGGCCAGCACAACAGGTATTGTTTGGGAGGAAATCCCGGCAGCAGACATGACTGCCTACACACACACACACACACATATATATGCTTAGTGAGGGTTTGGCAAAAGGGAAGGCTGGGGAAGTGTACGAGGGGAGAAGAATAGATTAGCAGCTATATCCAAAAAAGAGTAAGAGAGCTGCTCAGACAAGAAAAACAGCTATTTCACTAGCCAACGAACTGACTCATTTGCCACACATACAAACCATGTGGGACCTCAAGTGATGTCTCTGGCCAAGGTCTCTTGACAGGTCTTTCTATGTCCTTGCTTTAGTTTGCATCAGGAGTGAGTTCATGAGGCACATGCCCTGTTTGTCCCACTTGCCACATTTTGCTTTATGTCAGGGAGCAATTTTTAAACTGAATTCCCTTTGAGTGAAAGGAAACCAGGAGATAGACCCCAGGAGCATAACTCCTGCACTCCAGCCTCTAATGAGCGTCTGGTCCCTGGGAATCAGAACTGAGGCAAACCAGTGAACTGGTGTAAATCCCCTGACATACCAAGTCCTTGGCACAAAACAGCCACCTCTGTGGATCTGCTTCCTGCTGCGCCACACCAGCTGCTGACATAGGCACAGTTTATCTGCAAATATGGTAAATTTGAGTGCAAAAAAGAGAAGGAAGAAGGAAAAGCTTGAATTATGTAACTTCTTTTCTCACCAAAAAGTGATTAAAAGCTGTGGTAAAACAGCTCACAAATGTCACATTCACAAGGAGTCATAACAAGAAGTTTGACAAGACAAGACTTGGTAATCTAGAAGTATTTTAATTATATATCTTACAGTCTTTCTTGTTAGAGATGCTCTAAAGAAATAAACCTGAGAGCAACAGGTCATCCCACCCAACTCAGCACCTCTTGCAACCATTCCAAAGAGCAGCAGCTGTGAAAATCCCAGATTACAGAATGTGTGGCCCTGAGTCTCATCACCATAAGGAGATGGCTAGAAGAGCAACACACATGCCTTGGAAAGCGAGAAAGCATGCAAAACGAAAGGGCCCAACTTTAAGTCAACATGAAGACATGCAAGTGACAGACCATCCTTATGGGATGGATTTCTGTAACCCAAATAGTCCAAACTGAACAGCATTATGAACCCTACCGGTCAAATGCCCAACAGTTACACATGGCCACGTTTCTGAACTGCTTTAAAGCTTTCTGCATTAGGATTTTACTCACCACATAGAAAGGGGTTGGCTGTGAAAGTTAGATCTGGACTGAGCTTCAGTGTCCTCATATGGCCCTTTTTGGGGGAGAAGAGGGAAGTTGAGCTGGGGTTGTGTTCTGGCCCCACTCCAGTTGTAGAAGCATAATGGAGCAGCATCTGTGCAACTGGGTTCATTCCTTTAATTTGGTTAGACAATTTTGGGATAGGAAATGTCAATGCACAGGCTTGTTTTGGATAAACACCAAAAAGTAGTTTGGGAACCTGGCTGAAACAAGCTGATTCTCCGGAGTCTGTAACACCAGTGGAAAATGTGGGTAAGAACTTACCTCTGCTATCAGCAGCTTTCCCATAATAGGTTTTTCCTGTGCTATATGGGAGCTCCAGGATACTCAGGACTTCTGCAGTGCTCCTACCTCTGAAGATCCACTGCGGAGTCAGGAACCTCCTGAGAGAGGGAGAATCCGAACTCTTACCTACTGGGCTCCCAAAAGAAAAAATAAATGTATCTCAACACTGTGCTAACTGCCTTAGTGACCCTGGCATGGGCACTGAGCAGTGATGAAGGCTGGTCAGCTATCAAGAGCCAAGCAGTAGGAAAGGCAGTTGGTTTGTGCACAGATAACCTGGGATGTTCAGAGCAGCCACACAGAGTCAAGAATGGAAAATGTGAACAGTCCTTTGTGGCAGATGGGACAGAGTCACATGCAGAAGATTTTAGTCAGCAGTGCAAAGCTCAGAGCTTTCCACCAGCATTTCTCCCTGCTATAGCCTCCTGGAAGAAAACAAAGCAGAGCCCCAGGGATCAGCAGCCCCTTGGCCCCCTGGAGCTCCTTGGTTTCCAGCCTGTAGGGTGGTGACATGAAGCAGAAGCACTCACTCCTCTCCTCATCTGTCCCCACTCAAAGGGCACTTTGAGGAAAGGGAATTAGACTGTAGCACAGCACTCCTGCACAGCAGATGGGCTACATTGTGGAACACTTCTGCCCCAGGTAGCGTTGCATGCACACTGCACCCACAGGCACAGCTGTGTGGCTTCCCCTTACCTTTGAACATGTGTAAGTGCAGTGCTGGTCACAGGGAGCAAATGAGTAGCCCAGAGCATCCCAGGTCTCTGCAGGATGAGCAGAGAACAGTCCATGCCACTGTAAGAGCAATGGTCATTGTGTCATCCATGTCCTCCCACATGAACCATAGGAACTGAGGGAGCAGGACCTGTGACGGGTCTGAAAAGATAACTCACCTCCCCAGGGCTCAGGAACAGAGGAGAAGGGGTAAACCCTCCCAGCAGCAGGCTCTCACACACAGCCTTGGCACCGCGCCTCCCTGTTGACCAGGAAAATTGGCTGCCGTTACGTAGAGCCCCATTCAGTCTCACAGGCCCATTCAGTGCATTGCCTGGTGGGTGGACTGCCAGGGAGTAGGACACCCATTAACAGACTCCGTAAGCACTGCACACATGGTCCCTTGCATTCACTACCCAGGGTGGGACATCCGTCAGCGGCTTCAGGGAGAAAGGACCTGCGTGTTCACTGGTGTTTGTTACGGGAGTCCAAAGAGAACAAAACTGTAAAGCAAGACAATACTTCTAAGTTGAGGGGAACATTTCTTCCTCCATTAATTATTTCCCATGCTATTCCTGGCAGTGACCTTCACTGGGAAGGAAAAAAACCCAGATTTGTTTTTATATCTTTTATTTGACTTCCTATACTAAAGCCCCTAGCTAGAATGACTCACACTTATATCAGCCATCACATTATGCTATATGAGTGCTGCTACCTGTCTTGTCTTCTTCACCATTAAGGTTTGTTAGCATTAAACCAGGCAATGTGCAGCTCTATTTAAAGATACCTGCCTCAGTGGCAAGTGTCCATAATACCCTTGTTTCATCTTTGGAAGTAACACCGTGAAGACTGCATTTGAGACTGCTGGCAATCTGCCCCAGAATGAAGGGGAATTTTTCTGGTTCTGTGCAGAGAAGTGTTTGCCTGTTGCAGACCAGGCATCTCTTCTCCAACCATTTACAATGAAATTGCTTATGTGCATCACTGTCCTGTTACATACCCACTTGCCCCTTTAGAGATTCCTGGTGTTATTTCTGCTCCCTGCATGCAACAGAGCTGCACGGTGACACTACAGCCCCGGGGAGGCAGCAAATATTACCTCTCTGGTTGCAGGGATTATCCTCATGGTTCCTCATCTGTCATTGGCCCAGCTTCCCCTGCCTGACAATGTAAAGGGTTGAGAAGAAACTCCACCAGGAGTCTCAAGCCCCTCCCACAGACCTTCCTATGGAAGGCAGCGGGTTGGTCCTTGGTGTCTCATTTCATTCACACTTGCTTTCTTCCTCTGCTTTACAAACACAGTGCTCATAAATCATCACCTTTTGCATGAAAGGGGCACTTGCAAGCAGGTTACCTTCCAGATTTCATTTTTTTAAAAAATGGGCATTCAGATTGCAGCAATGGCCTGTCTCCTGCCAGAACTGACACCATACTGTGCCAGGAGCTGTGTGAGTGTCTAGGAATAGTCCTAGTAGCCCTCAGCTGCTTCCAGCTGAGAAGTGAAGCAGTCTAAAAGTTAAAAGAAAAATGTCATATTAGATGTTTTAACATAGTGACATAACTGAAAAAGAGTTTGATCTTCATCCTGCAGAATCCCAAGGAATCCTAGTCAAAATGTAGCCATCCCGCAGAGATATCCCACATTTTTGTCTCCCTCACAAATGCTGTTGTTATGTGTCCACCACTGCTTAGAGACCCTGACCTGCAGTATGAAGGCAGAACAAACGCTGGCTGCTGTCCATTCAGGGGCCCTTTTCCATCTCTGAGCCATGGCTCATGGCATGCCAGCTGGGCCAGTGCAGAACGTACCAACATCTTTTTTCAACAAAACAGCACCATGAACCTTGGTGTGAAATCAGCTAATTTAAGGCAAATTGCAACAAGTGTGACAAACAGCAGGAGGTAAGGAAAACTTAAGGGTACTTCATAAAAGTGTGTTTATTTCACTGACATCCCCAGAAGAGGTCATAGTTTGGAACAGGCAGAATGTGTTACTAAGCTGTTCTAGTGCAGGTCGACTTGATTTTACATGACACGAGATCTAACCACTGGGCTTAAGGTTGTATCACAGGATTTCAGTTTAAAAAAAAAAAAGGCCCAAGAGAGATACTCTAAATATATATATATTCGGGTCCACAAACAAACAAACAAACAAGCATACATGACAGATGAAAATAGGTAAGACTTTAATTTTACTGATGATTTCATTACACCATCAGAAATAGGCATGGAATATTTTCAGTGGCTGAAAAGTCTCATCCTGAAATAAAAGGTATGCATTAACATCCATTGCAAAACCATCTTTTCACGTTGGTAAGCTTTGTTGATAGAGGAGAGGAAACACACAGGCTCTCCCAGGCAAGCTCTTATTCACAGGTACAAATCTCTTTTCAGTGATGAATGAATCCTTTCAGAAATGCTAATATCAGGATTTACACAAGGTGGCCAATGTAAACTCTAACTGCTGGTTCATGATTCTTTTTGGATCCTTTGCCAACTTACAAATCTTCAGAGTTAGTGTTGAAACAGGCAGCATTTTGTTGGAAAAGAGCAAAAATGCATTTCTGAACCAAAATCTACTGATGGGAATAGATGACACAACAACCTCAAGAAAGAGCTTCCTTGTGAACCCAACCAGTGTGAGAGAGGAGGAGAGACAGTAAGAAGATGGGGATTTTGATGCTTGGATCATATCTCACTTCTTGCATTGCCCCAGGAGATTTAGTACTACTTCTGAAGGCAGCAGCCAAAAATATGCTTTGATGTATCTTTCATCTAAAGCTATCTATATTGATAGACTGTGTTTGTGCGGTTGAAGCACTGAACCAGAGATAGGACTTTTGCTCCCACTTCTACCACAGACTCTTGGTATGTCCTCAGAAAAGCAATGAAGGTTTATGTGTCTGACCCGGGCCTCTCTCAGCCAAGCAGAGAAGAGACCACTTTCCCACACAGCAGCATGGAAAAAAGCTCTGTGCATCATGAGATGGACAGGTCCCATCATCCTGAGTCCTCCTGAAAGCAATGAAAACAAATTGACACTGGTCAGATTCAGGCTGCCCTAAAATTAATCATATGATTCATTAGGAAACAAATTCTTCAGTTCAGAAATTACCAGTAACAATCTTTTCTTCTGGATTATTGCTCCCACAGATGAGCCAAATAAAGGACCATTTCAAAGGTCGTGATTCATTTCAGTGCAAAGCAATTGGCTTTGCTTTGATTGCAGGGGAATGTGACTTAAATTAGGCCAGCTGACTTTGTCCTGAAGAGGACTACAGCTTCTCACATGATCTGTAGCATAGCCCAGCTGTGGACGTTGACCTCTCTGGCTAAAGCCACAAGACATTCAACTCTGCCATAGGACATTTGCCCCAGTAAAGAGAAAATAGACTGGATGGAAATGGAGTTGTCAGAAGAAACTGTTGAGAACAGCAATTCCAGAAAAAAAGCACTTCCTCAGATCATAGGGGATGATCATCTCTCATACTTGCACTCTTCTTCCCCAGGTAACTGAGCACTGCTGGATTAAGCTCAGGAGACGGGAGGATGGAGGAGCAAGAAGCAAACTTTTTTCATAAGGGAACATATACAGTAAATAACAGCTGCAAAGGCTCTCTCATGTATTGAAGACATAATTCAGTGTTTTCCTTCCCAAAATCAGGATTTAATGGGAAGCAAGTTTCACCCTTTCTAAAGGAGTACTCTACAATAAGCTTGTTAAGTTTGGAAAGTACTTTGGGAGCCCTTGGGATGAAAGGCACTCTAGGAATGAAAGCTGATATTTATGATTATTGCTTGAAAGGAACAAAGAGGAACAGTAATGTAAAATATGAATGGCTGCTGGTGCTAAAAAACGTATCGTTGACTTGGTGCCAAAGGAGATAGTCCTAGCTCTCAAACCTGAATGACAAGGATTTAGGAGATACAAGAAGTGGAAGAGACTCGTGCAAATAACAGCAAAAGCCAACTTGATTGCAGGGCAAATAGGTGTCTTGTGGGTTTTTCTTTTCTTCCTCCTAAATTGCAGGCCATATGATCTGATCTCTCCCATCCCAGCTCTGTCAGCCAAAACAGATGCCTATTAACCACAGTAAGTACTGCTGGTTTGTACTCCTCTTGAAGGAGAAACCTACAGATCCCTTAGGACATGAGGCAAGGAGAATACCCTTCATAAGTGGTCATATGTTATGGATTGGCCTAAGTAGATTCATATCTTATCTCACTCAAAGGACTAAGAGCAGAACCACTTCAGGCTAATGTAAATTAAACTTCTCTATTTTAGAAAGCTATAAGAGAAGAAAATCAGGCTAACACGTTCTGCTTCTGCAAACATCTAGCTGCATGCTCTCTGCTTGCATAAGTGTCTTTTATTGATTTTACACTGGGCATCTGGTCCTCTAATATGGCACTGTACAGCTCCTAGAGAGGACGTTTCTCTATCTGGACCTGGTATTGAGACACCTTTACCTTAGTTTCCCACTCTTCCACTTTTCCCTGAGAAGATCTAAAAGAAAAATCCTTTGAGAGAAAGAATTCTGCTTCTTCACTTCTTCAAAAAACAAGCTTGAAAGTGACTCTAGTGCATAAGAAACCTTCACTGCAAAAACCCACAGGATCTTGAGAAGTGATTTTTTTTTTCATATAGCAGAGAATAACACAGCATGCACCAGAGGCTGAATGTTAATATCATACACATTTAAATGAGATATAAGGTACAATTATTTTTTAACGAGCTACTGCAGTGAATTAACAAGAAAGGCTGTGTTCTCTAATTCACAGGCTCCAAATGAAGATGGGATACCTTTCACAGGCATGCTTCAAGCAGATGTGGGTTAGTGGGCTAGAAGAACTGGAATGGCTCTAGGGATAGAGATTTTGCCAATGAACACCCCACCCAGGCTAGCAGCCTTCTGTGTCACTTGGGCAAGCCTTGCAATCTCTCTGCAGGCCAGTCTCCCACATTTCCAATGTGGCTAAACCCCACAGCAGCCAGGAGAGCGCTGTGTCTGTTCTCTTCGGGTTGCTGAAGGCCAAGTAGAGCCCTGGCCTTGCCTCCGACTCTGGAGAAGTACCATTTCACCAAATCCACACTAACAGGACTGCTAATGGCCCTTCACTGAGGTGCAGCTGCTGCACTGGCACATTGTTAAGGGAAAGAAGGTCCCCTGGCAGCTTGTGCTGCCAGGGTTGTGGTGTGGAGCATGCTTCTGCAAGATCCTCTCCATCAGCACTGCCTCTTCGTCCTGGCACAGTCTAATG